GAGGGAGGGGCGCCCCCGCGCCGCCGCCGCCACCGCCACCGCCACCGCCACCGCAGACAAAGCGCCGGAGGTGGGAGCCCGCGGGCCGCCCCTGCCTCCGCGCCGCCTGCCGGGGTGGCCGCGGCCCGCGCCTCCGGTCCCGGGCGTCCTTGTTCCTTTCTGGGTGAAAGGGACCCGCGTGGTGCAACAGGTTCGGGCGTTAATCCTTATTTTCCGGCGGGTCTCGTCCTCGCGGCGTGCGGGGACCAGATGTGGCTCCCGGCCCGGGACGAGTCCCTGCGTCCAGCGCCCGCGGCTGGTCCTTTGTGTGGCCGGGGACCAGCCCTGCCCGGTGGGTGGGGGACGCCGGGTCGAGGCCCCCGGGCTGCGCCGAGGCTCCTGGCCGCCTCCCTCGCGGCGTGAGGCTTGGCTTTCCGAGGGCCTGCAGGATGTTAACATCCCTCCAGCCTTTGGAGGAGTCACAAAGGGAAGGGAGAAAGGGCTGGGCAAGGATCTCTGGTTATGTATTTATTTTTTCTATGTTAGGTAGACTTATATTAGAAAAGAGCCACGCACAGTCTGGCCAGCTCTTGAGGGTGCGGATGGGATTTCTCCCTGAGAGGCACGATTTGGACTTGCTGCTGGTGTGACAGCCCCCGTGGTTCTGTTGGTGCTTTGACATCTTTCTTACACAGACATCACCCGAGAAGTTGGAGGTGCTGTTGAGGGAGTAAGTTGATAGCAGCTGTTTGACAGGTCACCTCTTTCTTCACATTTTGGCTGTGCCCAGTACACCCACCGTGCATCCTAGCATAGGTTGGCAAACCCTCAAATTAAAATTGCCACTCAAAATACCCCCATATTGGAAAATATTAGTCCATATGGTTTTCTTTGGCTTGATAAACCTTATTTTCTTAGATGTGAGAAACTTTTTTTCCCTCCCCTCACAAGGAAGAACACATAATAAAGAACAGTTTATCTTTGTTTACATACCTTGGGTCATGCTGTTACCTAGCTGGTTTCATTGGTATGCTATTTTAGTATAACAATACTAAATGGAAGGAAAATATCTTCCTTTTGCTTTGAGCAATAAAATGCTTCTTTGTTCTAGAACCAGGAAGCTTTTATACATAATACTTTGGACGAAAGTTGGTGACTGTCTTTACCCCATGACCAAATACATGAGAAAGCCCTGAAAGGACTCAGAAAGCATTACACAACTCTATAGATTGTTTTTCTATCTCAAATTCCAGGAAATCATTTTGCTGCATATTTATTCAGACAATCCACACTAAATTTAACCTTCAAAATTGGGCCTACTCTATAAATTCCCCAACATTAAGGAATGAATTGGTTGTATTTAAAGAGTTTACCAAGCATTTTCACCCCTGTGAATAATAATTGGATGGAATAATTGATGGATGAGATTAGAAGCTGATGGTGGACCTGGAGATCTGGTAGCAGAATGCAGAACGTGGAAAGTGGTGGAGGTTGCAAAGTTCCCATCTGCATGGATTTTAGTTGGTTGACCAGCATATCTGAAAACTAAATCACTAATTACAAAAGCAGATAATATTACATTTTGACCTGTTTTTTTCGGGTACTCTGTAACGACTCCTTGAAACTCTTTCTACTCCCTAAGAACAAACTTAGTATTAATAAGGACTTCTCTTTTGAAGAAATAAAATTATACCAAATTAATCTGACCTGTAGAAGGTTTCTCTGGCATAATTAGTAGTTTTACTTTGTTAAAAATACCATTCATCTGTGTAACATCTAACTTCAGAGAGCTTTCATAGCTATTACAAGCAACAGGAACAACCTCTTGACAAAAGTAGGATATTTAATAATGAAAAGTAGCCAAAACTTAGATTTCTATAATAGTTTTCTTTTATTGAGATATCTCATATACCATAGAATTCACTCTTTTAAAGTGTACAATTCAGTGGTTTTAGTATATTCACAAGCTAGTGCAGACATCATCACTAATTCAAGAACATTTTTGTCATCCTGAAAAGAAATCCCATACCCGTTAGCTGTCACTCCCATTCCCCCTCCCCAGCACTTGACAGCCCCTGATCTTTTTGTCTGTGGATTTGCCTGTTCTGGACATTTCGTATAAACGAAATCATACAGTATGTGGCTCTCTGTGTCTTTCACTTAGTATAATATTTTCAGGGTTCATCCATATTATGCATGTATCAGTACTTCATTTCTTTTTATGGCTGGATAATATTCCATTGTATGGCTGTGCCACATTTTGTTTATCCATTCGTCAGTTGGACCTTTGGCTTATTTCCACTTTTTGGCTGTTGAGTAATGCTGCTATGAACGCTCATTTACAAGTTTTTGCGTGGACATGTGTTTTCAGTTCTCTGGGTGTATACTGAGATGTGGAATTGCTGGGTCGTATGACGACTCTGTTTAACTTCTTGAGGAACTGCCAAGCTCTTCCATAGCTGCTGCACCATTTTACATTCCCACCAGCAAGTAGGAGAGTTCTCTTTTCTCCAGCATTTGTTAATATTGTCTTTTTGATGACAGCCATCCTAGTGGGTGTCAAGTGGCATCTCATTGTGGTTTTTATTTACATTTCCCTAATGGCTAATAAGGTTGAGCATTCTTATTGCCCATTTGTATATCTTCTTTGGAAAAATATCTATTTAATTTATAGTAGTTTCTGAGTTTATGTTTTTCAAATGTATCTTCTCATTTAGTCTTTGCAATAATCCTGCAAGATAAATTTATCCCTGTTTTACTGCTAGGAAACTAAGCTGCAAAGAGGTTAAATAATTTGCTCATTTTTTAACCTTACAGGAGTAAGAGTCAGAGTCTGAATGTAAACTCAGGTCTTCCGACTCTGTTTCCTGCATTCTTTCCAGTTCATGAGGCATACAGAAGTTAAATTGTGTTTTCCAATTTTCTTGGCTAATTATTGACAAAGTAGGGGAAAAATAAATACGTAAAACATTAAACCAGATAACAAAATAGCAAGCGTTGTGGCCACACTGCCTCATATTCACCAGATTTTGTTACGCTTTTTCAAATAAATTCTTTGTTTTCTCGTATCCTAATAACAATAATAATATCATTTCCATATTTCCTGTGGGGACACGGAGCAGTTAAACCCAGTAACAGCTTCTTAGTGGCGTAGCCAATCCTAAAACTCACTGTTCACTGAGATATTCTGCTTTCTAGTTCCCTTCTGCTTCCATGTTCTCTGCTTCCCCACTAATTTATTCCCTTTAACCTCAAAATAATTGAATAATTTAACATTTTTCATAAACATTAAAATTTTTCTGGATTAAACTTAACTTTCATTTTTGGACAGGGCAGTTTGCCAATTTCGTTTTGAAGTGCAGGATTACTAAGGTACTTATTTTGGGTTTTATGTACTTGTCTGTATCAGACATAGCATGGATGTAAAATTCTCAGCTCCTTGGTGGTAGGTAGAGGCCATATGCTGTTTGTTCATCTTTACGTGTCCATTGTCCAGCATAGAGCCTGACACTTAGCAACTATAACCTTTGTTGAATAAATGAATACAAAGACCTTTTTTTAATTGCAAGAATAAATAAAAATGACTTGGTACTCTTTTTAGAATAAAAACAGTACAAATTTCAGAAGAAATATATTTCTTATTCCTGGCATACAACCTAAAAAATAACAAATGATATAAAATAAGAACTTGACTTAAAACTCAACGCTATATTTTATGGAAGGAAGTAACTGTTGTTCCATCCTGGGTTTAAAAAAATAGGGTCTGAGTGCCCAGTGGCTGGCACAGGTGCTGGTTAGCTCGGTGCCTGCACATAGGAGTTGTGTCCTGAGTGCTTATTAAATGAATGCCCAATGAGTGAATAAAAGAAGTAGTTTTCACTATAACAAGTAGAGGAAATACAAGAAATGAATATTTAGGCCTTTTCATTTATATATTTTAATTGTCAAACATGATACATGTTAATTATAAAAATTCAATAATACATGGATATACAGAGAAAAAGCTGAAAATCTCCCTTTACTTCTTGTTGCCGCCCTTTCACTCCTAAGACTACTCCTGTCTCAGGTAAACTATTGTTAACAGTTTGGGGTTTATAGTTCCAAACCTATATCTTTGCATTTATGTGTAGGTATGTACAAATAGACATTTACATATCCAACTGTACCTACATACATATGTGTGTTTTCACAGTGTTTTTTTTTTCCACAAATGGGATCATACTACATACATTCCTTTGTTTTTCACTTAAATATATTAAGACTTTTGCATCTGTAGCCACAAAGGGTAAACATTATGTTTCCCTTTTAGTTTGCTGTGTTTGCCTGGTTTTGGTGTCAGGATTAAGCCAGCCTCTAAATGAATTGGGAAACTCTCCTTTTTTCCCCTGTGCTCTGGGAACAGCTTAAATGTCTGCCTTGTAAACATTTATTAGAAATCACCTGACAGCCTTGGGGGAGGAAAGATCTGAGACAATCTTTCTGATTTTTCCTGTTGTTATTATTCTATCAGTTTTCTGCCCTTATTTTCTATTACATTTTGGTGAAGGAATCCATCCACACACACACTTCCCTTCCCCCAGCTCTGATGAGTAAGTTAACAAAAGCAAGTGATTAAATGAATCAGTGGATGCAGGAGTATATGTGCTTTTCTGTGAGAGATCCAGGCTAAAGTTCTACACTTAATAGTCGTATAACTTTAGGCAAGTTACTTACCTTCTTCACACTTTGGTTTTCTGATCTGTAAAATAGTAATGATCCCTACCTCATTGAAGTCTTGAAAGTATTAAATATGAGCTAATATTTGAAAAAACCTCAGTAGTTGTATCTAGTAAAAATGAAATAACTTATAATGCTGAACTGTAACATGCTATACAAATGTG